TTGTTTTTTTTCATGCAAATGAGCTAAAACGAAACAGAAACATTAGTGGGGTAATTGATTTCCTAACAAAGCAAGATGAGGATTATTTATGCAAATGAGACATTTTAATATGCAAACTTTAATCAGAAATTAAAAGATAATTAATCTCTCAACAATTTACACAAGATAAGCTTTATATATGCAAACAAGATACTGAATATGCAATTGTAAACAAAACAGAAACATAGAGGGATAAATGACTGCCTAACAATCTTAACTAAGCAAATGTTAAATGAATCACTGATTTTCTAATAATATGAGGTTATACCTCACGAGAATATCTCAAAGTATACACAAAGACAAGACAAGAGTATAGGCCAACGCACACCGGAGGTTGATGTGCGGCGTACTGTCTGAGTGCATACTTTGAGGTGTTCTCGTAATAACCTTATTATTATACATCTTTTCCTTCCAACGATACATCATGGGAATGCCAAAATCCAAAAAGTTTAGAACAGAATCAGCTAACTTCTCTGTGTGGAGTCCGGTCAAACCTTGATGGCAGCCATGTTTGTTTTTATGCTTACGTGCGTAATCATTTCATATTTGGAATTTGCATTTCTTTATATGGTAGGATGAAAATACCCACTGAAATACCACAAAATTATGGCATGCTGTAACCTATGGCGTTACGGTGACAGATGTATAATAATGCAAGATAATAACTAATAATGCAAATGAGACACCTAATATGCAAGTTTTAGTTTAGCTAGTTTAGAAACATATACCGGTAATGGTAAGATGGTGTCCTAATAAAGTAATCATACAACACAAAACTGTCATGTCATTGTCACCACTATATCTGTTTCTGTTCAAATTGTTATATAATATTGACTTGAATAGAACAACATTTTTTTCATTGGGTGATAACTCAAATGCCTTCTATATAACAATAAATCATGCTTTCTAGAAAGTGAAAGTTAGTGCAACATTTTGAACTTTTTTAAATTTTTTTCAATTTTGGACCAAATGGAAAATTTTGTCCATGAGCTGAACAAAATATCTG